GCAAACGTGGGGTATCGGTCGGTTGAAAAGAATCCTCGTCACTGTCCACTTTTCATCGTTTTCTCGTCTTTCGTCGTCGCCATTCGTCTGTCTATCTGTCCGCCCGTCCGTCCGTTCGTTCGTTCGTTCGTTCGTTCGTTCATTCGTTCGTCCGTTCGTTCGTTTCGACGGGTCCTGTTTCCAGGAGGTCTCGCAAAAAGAGCAAATAAACGATGATGAAATCCTCGCGCGCCGGATATCGATACGATCGAGAGATCCGCTCCGCGTCCATCTCTCGGCCCGCTCGCTCCCCGGCGACGACGCGTAACAAAAGGGAACACCGGGAAGACGTACCTAGCCGGGAGAAGATCGCTGTCGGTAATCAAATGAAAAATTTCCATCGTCCTGAAATACCAGCCCTTCGTAGTTCGCGTTCGTTTTTATTCGCGTGCGAGCCGAAAGAATCCGCAGTCGATCGAAAATGTGCGCGCGTTTCCCCGAACTAGAAGACCGGCATCCGCTGCAAGCGATAAAGATGATAAAGGTGCGAGCTGGCCGCCGTATCTCCGTACCCTCGTTTCCTTTACAATGTGCCCCCCGTTTCCACGAGGGTATAGTGCAGATACGCGATACTCGTAGCGTCGGCTAACAACAACAACGGCCGATTACTTTTGCCGCCCTAAACCTGAATTATTGCCTCGGCCTTAAAGTTAAATTATCGCCGTGTACTCGTACGTACTTCCCTCGCGCACACGTGTGTGCCTGCGTGAGCGTCCGTGCGCGCACGCGCAACTCGCATGTGTGTACCCAAACTGCATGTTACATTTAAGCAAATACGTCGAAGTGGTAAACGGCGAACGATCATTGCGACCTGGGGCTCACCCATTTCCCGCGGCGCGATTGTCTCACAGGGCTGGTTTAATTAGGAAACGGACTAGGGTTCCTGCCGGACGTTTACTCAGTGCTGAGTACAACAAAGCCGAAAACAATCGGTGCCAATGTCCTTCGAGCCCGCAGGCTTTGCCCGAGAAATTAATCGAGCGCCACGCCAGGGCAAACAGCCGGGCTTCGCGTTTACTCGCGCCTGCCTCGTGCTCGAGAGCAGAGAGAGAGAGAGAGAGAGAGAGAGAATCGTGATGGCCTAGCTGCTGAGCAACGCGTACGCGGAGGCTATCCACGACGGTGGTGGTCGCTGCAACAATGCGGCGACTCGATGCACCGAGATTCCAATTGGCTGCCAGACAGCAATTCGTTTAGCTCTGGTTGCTGCGCCACGGCCGATTATCGCGCGTTCGGTCGGGTTGAAAAAAAAAAAAAGAGAAAGAAAGAGGGATGTACTTGCGCTTTTCAGGCATTTCACCCTTCACGTGGCGCGACACGGCTGTCGGAATTGAGCGGCTGAAGTTGGCGAAAATTTCGTTGTCTGCGTATGTGGCGAGTTTGGCGACTGCTATCGAGTAGCGAAGTTCGTCCTGTCACGTTGTGTAATCGGTCAGTCTGTCAAAATAGTTTATCGAGGGACTGGTGCGGAGGGACGATAAGTGGAAGGGCAAAAGGGAGAAGGGTGATTGAATGAAAGGGAGGGAGGGACAGAGAGAGAGAGAGAGAGAGAGAGAGAGAGACAACGGCCGTTTAAGGGGGTTAATTAGCTCTCGCCATAATCCCACTGGTTTCGGACCACATGTGCGTAGCTTAATGCACGTTTATTGCTTGCAGCTGGAGCTTTCGTGCGCTCTCGCTGCGCTTATCCCCCTTTCCGCCCTCATTTCACCGGCCGCGTATCAGCGCACCCCTTTCCGTCCCCCGCGCATCACACTTTATCCTCACCTCACTCTCGACGCGCGTGCGTTCTCGGCATATCGCGATCCCTCCGTGCCATCCGAAAACGCTCAATCGGGCGTTCTCGCTTTATCCCAGAATTTGCCGATTAATGATTAATTAATGATACGTCCTGACGCGGCCGACGAGCCTATAAAATATCTCCTCTCTCATTTCACCGGGAGTAAAAAGTCTCACGTTGACTCCGTGTCGCGGGCTCACATACTTTTCTACCCGACGCATTGATGGCTCGCCCGGTGATTTCCGCTAAATGTTCGCGTTAACGAAAAATAATACGCGCTCGTGCGAGACGTGAAGAGGAAAGACAGAGACGAGGTTTTCTGATGGGATCAGGAACCAGCTTCTTTAAAATTCTGACAACGAGATAGGGGCTCTGTCTGCGTTCCACGTGCGCGTAGTGTGCATACCCGCATTAGTGTGTGTGAGTATTTCGCTCGTGCAAGTGCTCCGAGATGTTGAAACAATCGTCCTGCGTTTCATGTCCATGTCTCTATTAAATATCGTGATTTATATTTTTATTGGCTTGCAAGCGCTGTTTCTCGCGCGTGCACGGGCATGTTGGTGCAATTACCGAGATTATTGTGATCGTTGTCCCTCAGCCACTCTCGGCTTCAGGTTACCGCTGCATAAATGCGCACGCACGCAACAACACGGTTGCTTTGCCGTCGCTAAAGCGCGATTATTTTATTTATATATATTGACAGGGAATTATTATTAGGATATATACGTGTGTATGACGCGTGTTCTTCCAAGCACTCGAGAACACAAACGCTCTCATTAAATCGCGCTGTCGATCAGAGTAAAGCCGATAGCGACGTTTAATTCTATCGTTCGATTCGCGCGAGGGAATGAGGTAAAGAGAGATAGAACTACTATATGTAAGCGTTCATTCAAATATTATTTCTAGTTTATAGGATGAGACTTCAAAATGATTTTCGTACAAGCCGTGATAATAATTGAAATATGTGGAGTTTTATTTATTATGCTAATAATTCACACTAGACATTCGAATATAAGCGTATATCTTTTTCGCCGATCAAGCGAGGTTATATTTGACGAACTCTCTCTCTCTCTCTCTCTCTCTCTCTCTTTCTTTTTGAATAAATACGTTTGGACTCTGCAATCATTTGATGTATTTCTGAAAGCTCCAAAGAATGAATAATCTCAAAGCGTAATAAACACTGTACTTTCTCTCTCTCTCTCTCTCTCTCTTTCTTCTCTCATTCGTGGCAGACAAGATGGTGCGAAGGACAGACTTCCGTATATGATCTTATCTTTCACAATACCGCCGGGAATCGTTAGATAGCGAAGACAACTAACTTATCGCTGCAAATGTTATCACGACTAATTGTGCGGGAATACCTTCGATCGTATGTTAACTACATTAACGTGTAAACACGTACGCGCCTCGTTTTCACCCTCGCGACTTTTTCTGGCATTCTTTATTTCTTCCTTGTTTTCTTTCTTTCCTCTTCTTCTGTCTCTTCCTCGTCTATTTCTACCCCCATGGTCGCTGAGACGTTCGACAAGACGTTCTTGAAAGGCTCCATCTCAGCTCAGTAAGAGCCGCACACCGGGAAAAGAGCTGCTTACCGCTTCCACCCTCGGTGGAAACTACAGCAAACCAGTGATAGAAACGAGAAATCCTATAAGCTTCCCTTTACCATGGCAACGTAGTTCTTATAAAGTGCGTGGCGATCGTTGCGTCGTGCCATTATGTCGCGCCGCATCGTGTGCAAAAAACACTCTCACGTTTGATTTTAATTTTCTATCGCATATTCAGTCGAACGTTCCTCATGCTGATTAACGAAGAATCCAGGTGCAATACCGAGACGGAAAGGATCCGCGCACACGTGGCGACCGTCAATCGCATGTGGTACAGGCGATAATGCTGCAAAGACTTTTTCTCACTCTTGCAATCATTGTGACGAATTTACGATAATCCACGAGAGGTTTCTGGTGATTATTTGCATATTTTTAAAATACTTTTCGCGGATATGTTACGTATCTCTCGAGATTCCGGAATTGTTTGGACATTGTTATATATTTTCGCGGGACAATTAGACTAATTAGAGTATTGAGAGAGAGAGAGAGAGAGAGAGAGAGAGACCAGTTTTAGACATTGAGATTATGAGAACTGTTTTGCGTAATTTAAATGGATCTCACGTAGCGTATATTTGATAACGACATGTGCGCGTGCGTGCACTGGAATTTTAAAGATATATATAGAGAGATTATAGTTTTCTTTTTTATTTTTGACTATAATATAAGTGGGATACTCACTGACACGTAAATTAAATACTGTTACGACAGTAAAAGTTTCAGATCATGTCTTAAAATAAACGCGGAGAGAACTCGGTTGAACTCGCTCAATCAGTTATATCGAAGTTTACGCGAAATTGAAATAAAGCGATGTCGGCGAACAAAATGTGACTTTGTTACATTCATAATCCAGACGACGTTCCACAGTGTTTCCATTTTGGTTTCAAGCCGCAGAAACTCACCCAGCGAAGAGTATTACTATTATTGGAATGCGAATCTCGAAGAATTGTTTCCCCCCCCTCTCTCTCTCTCTCTCTCTCTCTCTCTCTCTCTCTCTCTCTCTCTCCCTCCCTCTCTCTCTCCCTCTCTCTCTCTCTCTCTCTTTCTAACAAAAACATTACTTTTCGCGTGCGCACAGTGCGAATTTCATTTCACGGCTTTTTCACGTGATGTTTTCACGAAGAAAGCGCAGCTCGCTTCGCCTAACCCCTTCATCTCTTTTCTCAATAGCACTGTTGACGCGACTAGAATATACGGACGTCAATAGACGCGCGCCGTAATAATTGCGCATTTTCACCCTCATGGAAAATGAAGTTAGGGATTTCATTATGTAAAGTACAGAGCAGACTGACAGCCTTTATATCCGCGGATGTTATCTCGCGTTCTTTTGATTGACAGTACGTGCGTGCAAACAGGAGAGAGAAAGAGAGATCGCCAGGGGTTCCCATCGTCGACAGTATTAGGATATTCAGGAGGGCCCCCGGTCGGCGTTGCGTTGCGTTGCGTTGCGTTGCGCTGCGCTGTGCCTTGGCGCGGCCGGGTGGACGTCGCCGCTCCCTGGTGGGGAGACGACGGGCGTCGCGACGCTGCTCGGTAGCGCCAGGAACTAAAAGTCCGGGTACCTCCGCGCGCCAGTGCCGAGCCCGCGATCGTGGCGAGCGTACGCGACGTATCTCGTGTGCGTGTCCTGTATATAATTTTTCTCTCTCGCACGCGCGAGAAGGCCCGCGATCTTTGTGAGCGCACTGTCGCACGCGACGGCCGCGCGCGAACCGACGAGCACGAACGGAACGGACCACGACGACTTTCCTTCGACGACGGTTCCTTCAACGACAACGTCGTCGTCGTCGTCGTTGTCGCCGCCGCCGCCGCCGCAGGTTGCGCCGCTATTTTCACGGGCAAAATCACAACACGCGTCGCGCCGCTCCGTCTTCGCCTTCGTCTACGTTTTCTTCAGCGTCCCCCTCCTCGAGGTCACGGAGCGGCCGCTCGGGAGCAACGGAGTTCCCGATCCAGGATTTATAAAGGAGGTCGATGTCGAATTTAAAGCGGGGTCGTTCACCACCGCGGGGAGTCCCGGGCTCTCGAGGCGTCTTTCTTTAGCCAGAGCGACCGCGTCGGCGGTCGGTCCCGCGGGGGCGTCTCGTTGACGATGAGTCGTACTCCGACTGCTTTCTCTTTCTCTTTCCGTCTCTCGTACATTCGTTTCGTTCCTATCACCTCTCTCTCTCTCTCTCTTGCTCCTGCTGCCGCTGCTGCGGATCATGGAAGGTCGATAACCACGGGGCGAGACGTGCATCGCCGAGATTTTCCGATCGTGATTTTCTCTGGTCTCGTTGTACTTATTCGCACACGCACACACACACACACACACACACACACACACACTTTTTCTCATTCTCTTTCTCTGTCTCACACTATTCTTATTCGACGTCAGTTTTATCGTAGATTGCGGAACACTCGCGACATAGTCACTTAACGAGTCTCTGAGCTTTTTGCCGGCCAGTCGTTCGATAATTGGCTACAGTGAAGCTGGCTTTTCGTCGTTTTCATCGCCGACGAAACGATTGCTGTGTGTCCAATGCGCTGTGTGCCCGGAAGAACCGCAAGGTGCCGACAGGTGTTTTTGCCAAGGAAACATGGTACAATTGGCTGAATGATAGATGAGGCACGTAGCAGCCTCGTGATACCGAGGTCTCTTAACGAGCAGTGGATCAGCGGCGCCGTTCGATATCGACGAGAACCTCTTTTGTCAGCCCTCTGCGATGAAACGATACTTTCTCGGATCGCGAATCATTGTGCGTTTCCAGCAGGAAACGATGAATTTCCTGGAGATGCGAGCTGGAAAAAACTCGAGAACTCGATCAGAGATCACCGTTTCTATCTACGTTTCTAGCTACGTTCCGATAATTGTGATTTTCGAATAATCCGCGCGGACGCGATTCGCCAAGTTCGCAGCTCGATTTCTGTCGCTCTCCTCGTGCCGAACTCCACTCTGTCTCGCTTTGTCCCGACAATAAGCAACCTTCTCGCTTCGACCGTCGCAAGCAATTACACGCGGCGACGTTTAATATCCGCTTAATGAGTCCGGCCGCGTTCCCGAACAGCGTACCGTGATCACGTATTTCGTGCCGTCTCTCGCGGCTGTTTCGCCCGCACGTGTGTTAGGTTTTTCCCTCGTTTCTCCTCCCTCGCTAAAAAAAAACAACAAGGAAGAGAAAAAAGAATCGGGCTCGAGAAAAAAAGAACAAACGTTGCGAGAACGCAAGTTGAAAAGTTGCGCGTATTTAGGCTAAATAGCGCGCGCTTTTACACGCGCGAAAGAACGCGCAAGCTATGACGACGCCGCCGCCGCCGCCGCCGCGAGACACTCTCGTTAGCGTCGCGAGAACGCTACCCCCAATATACGGTTTAGTTAATCGTAACGCGGGATCCCGCTACGTGTGAAGCTGATGAGCGCGTTTTAACGAGCGTTTTCAGTTAGCACGGTTGGCACGACATTCCGTACCCTCGTCGGTCGGCGAACAGCCCGCAGGACACACACATACACTGCCACCGACGTACGTTGAGTTGATTCCCCCAGGTTCAGCTGGAAAAGGAGAGAGAGAGAAGGAACGAGCGAGCAAGCCATATTAGCAAATTCGATTCGTCACTTTAGGATAACTTCCCAGAGTTTCTCTTGACGCCACGAGGCGGATAGTCGAGCGATTTTTCGTCATGCTCGCGAAATCGACGGCGGATCGGTGCCTGGGCGTGTCGCGTAATTCCGCTGCCGCCGCCGCAGTCGACGATGACGGCAGGAGAGAATTTCTCCTTCGACGGTGCCGACGAAATGCTATTATTTGGCTTCTCTTCTCCCACGCCTTTTCTCCCGAAAACTGCTTTGGGCGATGAACACGAAACTCTCTTCTCTTGCGCGCTCTCTCTCTCTCTCTCTCTCTCTCTCTCTTTCTTTATTTTTTTATGTAGTTCCTCATGTAAAATCCACGACGAGCTAAAACGGAGTTATCGTAGGTAGCGTAGGAGTCGTGTTCGTGAAATGAAGAAGATTGCCACGGGATAATAAGAGAGAGAGAAGAAGCGGTAGGAGAACCGACACATTCTCTATCCCTCCGGCGGATAATGTTAATTATCGCGTTATCGTGGCGCCTCGGTGCGGGCGTGAGTACAATAAAGGAATGCGAGACATCGCCGCAAGGTCGGCGTGATTACTTTTCGGCCCGTCAAAACTCCAAACTTTCTGAGAAAAGCAATAAATTCATTGGTCTCTACTTTCCGAGAACGGATGCGCATTCGCCCACTTCGGTTTCGGTAACCCCCGTTGAATTTCCTCTCTTCCTCTCTCTCTCTCTCTCTCTCTCTCTCTCTCTTCCCCTCTTTTCCCCTTCTCTCTCTCTCTCTCTCTCTCGTGATTCAAGTTTTAAACTAGTAAAACTCTGTCGGCCTAAAACGTGAGGAGACGTATAAGTAAATTCGATTTAATAGCGCAAGTTGAACCATACATCACGATTAAAGCGGAACCAACTCGTGCGGGCAGACTTTTCGTTCAAAGAAAAACAACTTGGGATGTATCGTGGAGAATCAAGGAGGCCTGGGGGGGGGAGTGGGGGTAGAAAAATTGTACGTGTTGCAATTTCGTTCTGCGCACACTGCGACGGCGGCCGCCGTCTCTGCTTCATTCGTTCCTTGAACTCACGAAATTTTTCACATTATCCCATTTTCGAGCACGTCCTTGAGCGAGTCTTTTGAGAAAAAACAGCATCGCAGGGCGTTTCTCTCTCGCTCATTTCTTCTCTCCCCCTCGGAATGATGCATCGAATGTTTGAAACACATCGAGAAATCATAACATCCGCGACGTAACTCGGGCGCGTAGGGGAAACTCGCGCTTCTCGTTGGAACGCGCGACCACATGTGCTTTTCTTTGTTCGACCCAAGGAAATTTCCAGTGAGAGCACAAAAGTTCGTGATGGATTTCGCGACAGATTCCTTCTGTTGTACTCAACATAGTATCGTAACGCTATGCTCGTTTTGGTTTCTACTAGTAGTGGTAGCTCCGTAGCAATCCGTGTGCAATCACGTTACCGCGTATCGATCGAGCAGCTCAATATAAATAATGAGATGGTGAAACTTTTCACTGCCACAGTCGTGGCACGTACGTTCGCGTATATTAATGCAACTTTGATTGCCCGACAAATAATCTTGGAAGTGGAGCGCGATCCTTCGTAAATGTCAAGTTCGCTCGACATTTACGTCCGTGCGATAATAACGTCGTCGTCTTCGTCGGGACTTTCTTTACGGCGCTGAAGAAGTTGCTCGGTGAACAAAAATGACGGAGGTTTCGAGAATATATTCCGCCGCAATTTCGTCGGATCGATCGCGCGCGGCCGTATGACCGCAAAGCTGTAATTTATCAACCAAAGCCGAGCGTCTATTTCGTAATATCCCGCGTCGAAAACTTCTCCATCTATATTCAATTATACATTTATATATATATATATATATATATCGCGTCTAGGTTGTTTCGCATATATTTTTATATCTTTTTTTATACTTTTTCATACTTTGCTCACAATCTTGAGACGCTTTGACGGGGAAAGAGAAGGAGAAAACGAAATTCTCGAAACGACGCGCGGGTCATTCGCGCGAAGAGGATATCCGGTGTGGCGCGTGGGAAAGGTGTGGGTACTCGAAATTGCCGGGCTGGGGGAGGGGGGATGGACCGCGGGGCGTTCCGTTCATAGATCCTTTAAAGTTGCCCGAGCTCGAGATCTTTTAAACTCGAGTACGAAGTTGGCTGGTGCGGAAGAACGCCGCGGAGGCTCCGGCAATTAATCACTTAGCGGTTTTATTCAATTACGTCTCGTTGCGGAGCGCAGAGTGCCGTTGAAACTGGCGAGAGAGAAATAGATGGAGTGAGTGAGAGAGAGAGAGAGAGAGAGAGAGAGAGAGAGAGAGAGAGAGAGAGAGAGAGAGAGAGAGAGTGAGGGAGAGAGATAGAGGACGGGAAATACAACGAAAGAGCGAGAGGGTGAAGGAATGTCGGGGCACGCGGACGGTACAGGGCGACCGGGAAGTTACCGTCGCAACCGAGGGAGCTTCGGAAACCTCGCAAAAGTGTTATTCGAACCGTGGATCGCAACGGTGGTCCGCCGCAACGTCAGGCGCCGCGCGGGGTCTCTTCTCCATTTCCCTCTCTCGCGCGTGCGTACCTTTAACGAAAAGTCAGCCAGGTTCTCGCCCACGTTTATATGCACTCGCCGCGAGTTCATCGATCATCGACGATAAAGCCTGTCGAACCGAAGAAGCTGATTTACCCTTCGCCTCGGTGAAACGCGCAAACGCCAGCGTCTTCCTCCTTCTCTCTCGTATCTCGTCGCGATAAAACGCGAACGCACGAGGAAGAAATATGAACGAGGAAAGAGGGAGAGAGAGAAAGCGAACGAGACGCAGGCGTAGGAAATCTCGCGGTACATCAGGACGAATTCACGCGGCTGATCATTAGAGTCGTATTCAGTACATTCTACTCTTTTCCTGCGGGACCTCGTCTCCTCAGCGCCGTCAGCCCCGTTTCTCACTCCGCTCGGCCGGTGCGAAGTCAAGGAGCCAAAGTCTTCTCTCTCTTTGGGTCAACGTTGTTGACACTTCGTTTCTTTCCGCGAAAGTTGTCGGACGACTCGCGCGACTCGGCTGATCCTCTCCGCGAGAGTTTCCTCCCTTCTTCGTGTCGTCGAGTTAGCCCGCCGTTGCTCTGCGGTCTGCTAGTTTTGGTATCCGTGATATTCTCGTTGTCGCGTGAATCCCTAATCGTCGACTGCGAGAAATCATTGCTCGTGTCGGGGTGCGTAAATCCGCAGTCACGCCCGAGTTTTCCAGTCGGGAATGTGGGAACAGAGCGATTTAACCGGCAGAAGGACATTGCCCGAGAAAAAGAGAGAGAGAGAGAGAGAGAGAGAGAGAGAGAGAGAGAGAGAGAGAGCTGGGGACTACCCCGCGATAAGGAAGCGAGAGCTCGTCGCATCTCGCTGTTCTTCGTTCTTGCGACGAAGACTCGATCGAGGATCCTTTTGCCGGTTTCCAGGATGAACGAGGTCTAGTCCCGTCGTCGATGACGATCCAATGGGAGAGTCTACAGTTATCAGTGAAAACGCGTGACTCGTGATTCGTGGAAGATACTCACCCGTCGCAAAAAGCGGGATTCACGGAGATCCGCGGTGGCGCAGAAAAGGAACGAGAAGAAACTCGCGCTCGCGCGACGGTCCTTCGGAGGTCCTTCGGAGAACGAACCTCCAGCCGAGAGAGAGTGATATGAGTGTTGAACGCAGGTTCTTTCGTGACGTTAAACGGCGATCGAGTCGCGAGCGGTTCTATAGACATACCATCGAGTGATTGGCGAGAAAGAACCGGACGTCTTGAGGAGGAGTACCGGGTGAATCTCGAGAGAGAGAGAGAGAGAGAGAGAGAGAGAGAGGGGAGGGAGAAAGAGGAGGGGGGGAAGGAAGCAAAGTGATCGCGCGAAGGACGACCAGAAGAAAAGAAGGAGAGGGCGGAGGTAAAGGAGGACGAGAGTTACGGAGCCACAGTGTGTTCTTTTTGGTAGCGTGGAGGGAAGCGAAGCTACGAAGCGCGTGCGGCGCAGAAGAGAGACAGGAAAAGTGAGACGAGCTGGAGGACGACCGGGTGGAAGTAGCCTGTAGGTGAGAAGGAAGGTGAAAAAGAAGATGCGGTGCCATCCGATCGTTCTCCTCGCCGGCCTGCTCACCGTCGCCAGTGCACAAGGTCAGTCTCTCTCTGCCCGGCATCCTACCGTCTTATTTATTCTTATTCTTCGTTTCTTACTATGGTGCCAATTATGTCTTACTTTGCGTTCCCCCCTCTGACCTGGACATTCCGCTGTGTAATTCCAAGGCGGCGATATTTTCACAGTCTGCGAGGAACCGTTCGCAGTTCGAGTTCCGAAGAACTCGTTGTTTCTTTGCCCGTTGGTTTCTTTCCGCGTCTTCTCCTTCCTCCTCTCGTCGGAAATACATATCGGGGAGGCGTCCCAGCCGTGAAGAGTAGCATTTCGCTCGATGAGACCACGAAGTCACCGCGCGAGAAGTCTCGCGACTCAGTCATCGCACGATAAGCACGACGGACGATAGTCCGGATGTCGGAGCGGCGGAAAGAAATTGGTAGCGTCACGTCGCCGCGTCGGGATCGCGTTTAACGTCGCTTTAGGGTCGCTTTGATGCGCGTCCGGCTCATAACAATTAATTATACCGAGACTCGGAACTATATGACACGCGATATATCTCTCGCGAAAAGTTTGAGGCCTTGATAACATTAAGTATTAAATATATATATATATGAAGTTATAACACGAGTACAAAATGCAACAACCATTTGCTCTTGTCAAACTTTTTATGCACACACGGGTCTTCTGACATAGAGTAGACTGCAGTATCCGACGAGAATGACGCGAATTTTAATTACATGGTTTTCCGTTATACGAGCGGCAGTATAAATTCCCTCTCCGTGTTTCTAACTCGCGAAAGTTTTCAAATAGCCGCCGGCAGATGTAATACTCTGTAAACCTTCTCAATTGGTGAGCCGCCAAAGACGATACTCCGTCAAACGCGACATGTTTACCAAGTTTTGTGTGAGAAATTGAACGATATATTGTGTACATATCGATAGCGATCTCCTGATCGCTTTCTGGAGAGCCGAAGGGGAATTGTTTTTTATTAATTACTAGCAAATATTTAGTCACACTGGTGCTTTTCTTCGTTTGACAATGGCTGCGTTCAGCCGAAAAAGCTATTTTGCAGTTGTAAAAGCCTGATTGGTATGTACGCCCTCAATGTTGACTGAATTTAAGGGCACGTACTAGTGCATTCATGAATCCTACAATTGCAAAATAACTTTCTCTGTCGCACGAGTATCTAATGACGCAAAGCGCTAATTTAGCATGATGCACCGATTTGTCGCGCGCGCGTCTCCACGCGCGAGTTCCGAGACTCGGTAGGAATACGCGTGTATATGTACATGCACGCACGGGGGAGAAGGGGGTGGAAACTCAAAATCCTCCGCGTACGGTGTATGAGTTTATCGCGACAGAATAAATCGCATTTGTCGTCGACATAGAATCTTGCGCGACGCAACTTTTCATCCCTGTCGGATATTTCGTTCGCAACTGAAATTTGTTTAACACACCATTCAGTCTATTTCCCTAACAATGGCGCACGTGCCGACATTCACGTGTAACGCCGTGGTTTCACGCGTATCTGGTGACGTCTACCCATTGTCGCGGGCTGGCCATTAATCATCGTCGCGCGAGGACGCTTCCTAAAAGCAACTACAATATTATTTTACCAGAGTGGCACGATTCTCTCTCTCTCTCTCTCTCTCTCTCTCTCTCTCTCTCTCTCTGTTCCTACCCCTACAGTTCTTTCCTTTTCTTTATCTTTTGCTTCCTCCGTCTCTCCCTCTCTCCCTTCTTCTCTCATCCTACTTCTTCTCATTTTTCACCCTTTTTAAAACCAAGTTTTTTTTTAATCATCCATACATGACACGCAATATTACGTCCCAATGAAAGAGAATATTGCACTCACTCTCTCTCTTTCTCTCTCTCTCTCTCTCTGTCTTGTCCCTTTTCTCTTTCTCTCTTGACGTTTCTACCCTTCAATGCTCTTCCCTTGAATTCCCCGCTTTGAAGCGTACAGAAAGGGTGACAGCAACGCGAAGGGTGAAAGGCCGCGACGGAGATTACGACGCACTTAGCTCTCGCGGTCATTTATTTAACACGAAATTTTATACGCGGCTGAATTTTTATCGCAGTTCGGACCGAGGACAGCTCTCCGCTTTCTTATTTCCCCGCGTCGCGTGGAACCGTATCGATAAGGACTTTACTGTATGTCCGGCTGCGTATGTCCGTGCTTGAGTCTCGCGCGTTTATCTCTCCATTATGAAAATATTTATAATGGCGGGTTTTCGGGGCATAACTTTATTACTATTATTATTATTATCATCATTATATCCCGGCAACATATAAAGCGCGGAGATTATCGGCGGCATTTATAAGTCGATGTTTCCGCCAAATTGATTTTCCAGGGGTTTCGTTGGCTGTTTGCTGGCTTAATTATGCGTGCGACATTATTTCCGCGCTGCAAATAATGCCGCTCGACGCGCTCATTAACTCTTTTATGATATCAATTTTTGGTCGGTAAAATAACTCTCGGCATATAATACCCGTCAATAGCGTGCTCGAGCGCGCACGCGTGCACTCGCACAGCGATACTGTATTCATTATCGCCGCGTTTTGCATGCACACGCTGAAATCCGCGCGGTTTTTATTAATGCGCGAAACGTCCGTCCCTCGGCAGACTTATTACTCGTTGTAATCTCAGAGGGAACTCCCGTTTCCGGTTTATCCGGTTCGCTTAATCGTTCCGCGACGCGAGCACTTGCGCGGCCAACATCGCCACGTGTGTGTGTGTGTGTGTATGTGTGTGTGTGTGTGTGTGTGTGTGTGTGTGTGTGTATGTGCCTGTGCACTTGAGTCTCAAGAAGGCGCACGAGCGGTCGCGCTGGAGTACCGCGTGTGCGCCTTTTATAATTCCATCTCTTTCCATGCTAATTTTCTTTTACTTTTGCCTCTCTCGTCACGTCTGATTTATTTGAATTCATCATCTCTCGACGTTAACTTTTAGTTGCATTTATTACGAACTTGAGTAGTTTCTACAGCTGCTCTCTGTAACAATCTAGCCTTTATCAATAATAATTGTAATAGTTAATATCGCGTCGTCCTCTTTATTGCGTTTGAGGGCAATTATCTCAGAGTGCCTAATCAGTTATGTCATTTCTCTTTCTCTCCTCTATTCTCTCGTCGAGGGATCGTTTGATTCCCCGAATTCCGAATCGAAAGAGAAAGAAAACTCGACACGCGCGGCGCGTGCCATCTGCCTCAGAAACGAAGCGCGATAATTTTACAATAATCCCTCGCTCAAGAGGATAATCGAAGTCAAGCCGCGCGATCCCACTTGAACACGCGGTACCCCTATTCCACTTTATGCGCTCTACTCGCGACCCCTGACCCTATGGTCCTGGCTTCTCACAGTCATTCATCGTACGGGCCGCTATCGCCGCGATCTTTCGTGCTGTTTCTGTTTTTCCTTCTCCTCCTCCCAACGAGGGTGGCTCGAGAAACTCGGTGTCGTCGTCGCCGCCGTCACCAGCACACCACCGTCACCATCGCCGAGGCCTTTTCTGTAATCAAATCCAGGCCGCACGCGTGGGTGGGCGTGCGGGCCACGCGTGCGTGCATATGTGCGTGCCGCGTGTGCGTCTGCATGCGTGCCGCACGATCACCGAGGCGTGGTCGCCAGCGAATTACGTGTCCCCGGTTTATGTTATCACCCCCGCTGCGTCACCACCCTCCCCCCCTAGAGTTATTCCTTTCGCGCACCCCTGCGAGCGGGTCGTCCGGTTCACGGTTGCCATACGGTCTCTCTCTCTCTCTCTCTCATACGGTGCCACGAAGGGCTTCAAGAGCGCAGGTTGCAGGCGCGTGTCGACCGCTACAAAGTCACGCTTTTTCTTTTTTTGCGACACTCGAGCACACATGACTTTGTATCCTTTGATATTACGAATTACAGTTTCTGTTTCCTTATTGCTCTCTCTCTCTCTCTGTCTCTCTCTCGCGCTCTTCGCGTCAAGAGCATCTTCGACGGCGACATGAGCGGTTTTCGATTATGTACCAAGTGGAGCAATCAAAGGAATAGAGTAAACAGTGTGTTGCGGTGGGTCGTTCTAAGGAAGTTCGATTATTATTATTATTTGGCGAGGTAACAAGCAACTGGCGATACTATGCGCTTCATATTTTTCTTGGGAACTGGCAGAGTCAATACTGCGGGAACCGCGGTATACACGTCTCTGATAGTATTCGCTGGCGTTGGAGACTTTTCGAATGAATCTTCGGCACTACTTTCTCAAAGCGCGCTAATGGCGAAATCGGTAAAGTTGAGCTCGAGTGTGGGAAAACACTTGCGGGACGTCTCGACGACGATACAACACGCAACGCCGCTTCGCGCTTTACCCCATGTTGTTTTAGGGACACCGTTTGACTGCGAGCACGTGCGCGTTACCCTCTCAACTTCCCCCGAGAACGCGTTTTGTGACGGTTCTTATTTTGAATCGATGAATATGCTATCTTGCCAAAAAACAAGACTTTAGTTCCTTTTAGATTATCCAAATTTATAGAAGTTAACGTTATTAGATCCGTGGACTAAATTAACCGATTCATTACACTAATATACATATTTCACCTTTCACGTTTCACATTTAATGGAAGTCGTATTATAAGATTTAGATTCTACGCTGATATAACTGAAGAGGTTCAATTCGTCGGATCGAAAAGGGAGTCGACAGACAGGTAGAGAGATAAATTAATTTGACGGAATTTATGAGGTGATGAAAAAGGACAAACGAGCGATAAGGAGACCAAATATTAATTAAAAACCAGATAAAAGATAATAGCGATTTGACTTGCGCAAGGAATTCCGCGGGATTCCCTACGCTGCGACGATACGTCGCGGCGAAAACTCGGAGAGCCACGCGTTAAACACATCTCATGCGCTGAAAACAGCACGGCGTAAAATCGGCGATGTATCTTTAAAGCCCACTATTACGTTTCATGCGAATCTCAACGCTGCCGTTTATAACCCGGCGTATAACGCGTCTCGGGTGACGCGCCCGCGATGTTCAGCCGGATTACTCCTCGCCGGGTATATGTATCGGGT